TTTTTTTTTTTAATTTTTAAAATTTATTTATTTATTTAATTTATTTAAGAGCGCTTTTAAGGAGCATTTTGCAGGGAGGCGGGGGTGAGCGACAGGGGATCATTATTTGATTGACAGTCCCGAGCTATGGAACAAGTTTACTGCTGTGCATGCTCTCACCCTTGAATCGCTAAGAAACGCCCACTGGGGGGGGGGCGGGGGGCAAAACCACCTGTAGATTTTATTATAATTATGGTATAATGAGTTCGGGTTCACTATAGGTTATATGCCTGTGTGGTCTGGGCATGGGCAGCCCAGGGAAGTCCCCCTTGTATCACTGTGCCTCTCTTTATCAGGATAAGTTGCTCACCACACGACCATAGTTTCGCCCGTTTTGGGGGGGTCAGGGGAGAGTCCCCAGAAGGCTGGGTGTTTGACTCGATTTTTCCTTGTCTTTCTCGCCACTGTCACCTCCTTGCTGCTAATGTCTGACTAACTACCTAACAAGGGGACTGAATTTCCTATATGGTAAAAGTATCAGAATTCAGGAGCAGTTAGAAAATGTCCTTGACTGAGGGTGGGAGAAAGATGGACCCCGGGACAAACGAATGAAGCAGAAGAGTGGAGCGGGCCCCTCAAGGCATCCCGTTATATCAGTTCTGTTTCCTCTAAGGATATATATTTATGCTAACCCCTTTATAATGATTTTTTCCAACAGTGGAATTTCCCATGGTCATCCTATAGGTAGGGGCTGTTTCACATGTGCATCCTTGTACAGTTGGGGGAGACAACAGGACAGACAGGAGTGGGAAGCCAGGCCACAGAGGCAGGAGGATGGAGCCTTTCCAGTGCTTGGTACTGTTTTCCTCTATCATGTCACTTTTTGACATATTAATGTATACCTTGCTTGGTTTCAGAAAAGTACCCACATCATACTAAGCTATGCTTACTTTTCTCACCCACTAACTTGGAATCCCGAGGGTAGAAACTATCTTTTGTCATCACCTAGTACCATCTGGCATTCAATGTTTAAATGGAAAAAAAAAAAAAGGAATAATATATTTCCCTCAAGGAGGAGAAATCATTACATCTATTTAGTTTCAAATAATTAAAGAAACAAGAAGAACAAAGAGAACCAATAAAGGCTGCTAACTATGTTGTGATTACATAAATGCAGATGTACTTGCTTGTGTCCTTTTATTATTATCCATGTTATGCTCCTGGGCAATTAAACTAATATTGGACGGGCCTGGGGGGGGGGCGGTCAATGAAATATTTAGGTGATTAAGGATGCTTTCACATTACATGCTGCTACCAAAGATACCCGTTTATTCAAAACAAAGGGACTTAAAACCTAAAAGGAAAAAAAAAAAAAGGCGGTGGCTCCTCCTCCAGACCCCCCTCCCCCCCGACGGCGGGATGACTGGGAGGGACAGCGCCCTCCCCGGAGACGCTGCCCTTGCGGCGCCGCTGGCCGGAGCCTACTCCTCGGAGGGGACCCCGCTACCGCGGCGCCCCGGTGACTGCGAACCGCCGCAGCCTCCCCGAGGGCACGTCTAGAGCCGGGCCGGGGCGGGGCGCCCGCCGCCTTCCTTAGGGCTTGCCTGAGACCCGCCCGCGGCCGGGCCCGAGCGCCTCGGAGGAGGCTTGTCCCCGCTCGCTCGCCGTACCGCGCGGCCCCGCGGAGGGCAGGGCGCGCGGCCGACATGGGCGAGACCATGTCCCGGAGGCTTAAGTTGCAGTTGGGCGGGGACGCGGATATGGAAGAGCGGGCGTTCCCCAACCCCTTCCCGGACTACGAGGCCGCCGCCGCTGTGCCGGCCGAGGAGCCGCCACGTGCTCGCTCCCAGCTCACTCCCGACGAGCTCGGCCTCCCCTTCCACAGCGATGGGAAGGTGAGTCGGCGACCGGCGGCCGGATTCGGGCCGCGCCAGGCGTTGGGGGAGGGGAGCGCCGGCGGTGGTAGCGTCCACCCGCTGCCCCCTCGCCGCGCAGAAGTCACCCACCCGCGCCGCGCGCTGTTCCTCGGTCAAGGCTCTGGGTTCCGCCGCTGGGCGGTCCGGGGCCGGCGAGCTCCCAGAGCGCGGGCTTCGAGCTGCGGTCCTTCCCGGGCGATGTGGCCCTGGAAGGCTGTGGAGCTCTGCGTTGTTAGCCGCTTTCCTCCTGGTAGGCGCCTCCTGGCCCCTCGTGCCTTTGAAATACGCTCTTTCGGGGCTCTCGGAAGTGCGGGCCAGGTCTTCGGGGTCTGTTGAGGTGCAGATTTGTTTACCATCGAGGGCCCGCCCCCAGAGCTGTAAAGCGTATCCGCGGACCGCCTGTTGGCACTTTCCCTGGGGCCGAGGTTATCGTCAGCCCTGGCCTCCGGTCCCCTGCCCTTGGAATGTAGGGCTTGGGAACAGCAACCAAAAGGCCTTGTTTCTACACAGTAGTGTTACTGTAATGGGTCTGCTATGTGCGCCCAGGAGTCGGAAATGGAATACGTGTGAACAAGCTAACTCGGTAGGGGGAAGGTGGACAGAAAGGAATACGTGAATATCGGCACAGCTGTTCTCGTTTTGGTAAAGCCGCGCGTTCACCGGTTAGGTTCCTGTGTTTCCACTGATCTCTGTTCCAACTCCCACTTTACCTCCCTGGCTCCCCATGTATTTTGTGTTTGAAAAGGCATTAGTTCGCCCCAATGAAGGCAATTTTGAAAGAGCGATTATTGGTCTGAACATGGAATCTTAGGCAAGTGACTTCTCTAAACTCGCTTTTCTTGTATGTAATTCAAATCTGGAGAACAATTCCTAACTTACAGGGATGTTAGTGATTGAATTAAAGTATATCAAGCGGTCTGTCAAACTGCCTTACGTGGTACCTGGTAAAGCCCCCAATAAATGCATCCTCATTCTTCCCCTGGAAAAGTCAGTGCTCGTGGTTTAGAATTCATATGTCAGCACTGATTTTTTCTCTGGATTTCTTCTGTTTTCACATATATTTCTGTTTTGTTTGTGACTTGGTGTTTAAATCCTTTGTAGTAAAAATAAGTCTCTGGCAAACATTTGAAAAATCTGTCACTCATACATATTATCAGTTGCTGTCTCAATATTATCCTTAGAGTAAGGAGGCTACTGCAGTTTAAAGATAAGTGAAAGGAACCACTATTTGAGTCTCCCTGAGAACAGTAAAGAGGTGAGAACAGTTGAGTTTCATTTTGTACCTCAGAGAAGGAGATAAACACTGGTTCTGAAATTACATGTTTTTCTTTCTAACCTTTTATATCCAGTAAACATAATGTTGACGTCAACTACACACCAAACGGGCTTATGTAAAAGAAAATTAAGCCACAAATAACTAATGGGGCTTGTGATATCTCCATGCAATTAAACAATTAAAATAAGTCAGGGTGGGGGACCCATGCCAGTGGTCGTTGTTATATGCTAAAGGAAAGGGGAAGAGTTTTTTCATGTTCTTGAACATGAAAATGAGAGCACATTAAAGGGAGAGAGGGATTTCTGATTTTGAAAGGTGGATATGAAATGGAGCAGGACCCTGTGGTCCTCACCGCGGCCCCCCACCCATGTCCTCAGCCCACCTTTCGTCTGTAGAAAAACTGCAGGCAAAGAATAAATTGAATTAGAGAAGTGAGAAAATGCAGAAGCAAAGGAAAGCAATCAAACAGGACAAAATAATAGTAGTTTAGTCATGAAGCAAAGTGAAGGACCTTTAGTTCCTCCTCGGGGGCTGTAGATAGTATTCTGGGCCGTGTCCTTTGAGCTGTTTTGTAGAGATGGAAAGCCCCACCAGGTGGAAGAAGTGAACTACATGATGACCAGACTGTAGCCATGACATCACCTGCCACAATTCTGAGAACTGGCCTCAAAGAAATCGGAGCAAACCGACCCTGGAACTGAAAACTAAGGGTTCTTAAAACAAGATGATGTTGATCAGACCACCACATGACCAATTTCAAGATGCCTGTCAGAGCTGCCTGTGCTGTTCTGCACGTAGCCCCCTGCTTCCACTTACACACCCCAGAAACTCGCCTTTAAAAGCTCTTACCCACTGGTCATCCTTGGGGGCGGGGGGTGTCAGCCTTTGGACACGAGTACCCCCTCCCCCCTCCCTTGGTTTGCCAGCCTCCAAAATAAAGCAAACTTTCATTTCCACCAGCCTTGCCTCTAGAGTATTGGTTTTAGAGCAGCAAGCAGCCAGACCCCACTTAAGGTAAGAGAATGCTTAGATTTAGGGAAGTCGTAAAATAAAATGAACATGAATTAAGTTCCCCTGCCTTCTGTATTGATAGATTGGGATTATTACGTCTTTAATTCTTAGAATATTAAGAATGTAATTAAAATAGAAGTTGTCAGACTATGCATTTGTTTTGATAGACATGAAGTTTCATGAAAATGAGGTGTTATGAGTTGAATTGTGTCTCCCCAAAAGATGAAGTCCTGAACTGTGGAATGTCAGAATGTGACTCTTGGGAATAAGGTTATGTTAGATGTAATTAAAGTAAGGTCATGCTGGAGTAAGGTAGGCTCTTAATCCAATATAAACTAGTGTCCTTAGAAGAGAGGCAGAGACACACAGGGAGAGAGAAAATGGCCATGGAATGATGGAGGCAGAGATTAGAGTGATGCATTTGCAAGCCAAGGAATGTCAGAGATTGCTGGCAAACACCAGAAACTAGAAGAGGCAAGGAAGGATTCTGCCCGGAGTCTCAGAGGGGACATGGCCCTGCCAACCCTTGATTTTGGACTTATGGCCTCGAGAACTGTGAGACTATAAACTTCTGTTGTTTTAAGCCACTCAATTTGTTTCGGCACCCTAGGAAATTAATACAGAGTGTAATTTGTAAATTAGGCATTGAGGAATAATTTTATCGTGATGGTGTGTGCTGTTAGTGAGAAAAGATTACGTAAAGTCTACCAACACAGTAACTTTATTGCCAAGTATTCTTTAAGTCAGTTATTTGATCCCGTTTAGGTTAGCTGTGTATGTGTTGTGGTGTAATCAATCAGTAAAATTCACCTCCAGTTCTAAAACCAGATCAAGTCTACTTCACTGAATTATGTTGCTGTAAGTAGGCTTTTGTAACATTTTGACGACATCGGTCCAGATACTATGAAAAGCAGTGAACCAGCGTAATAGCAGCTTTTTTTGGTTTTGTTTTTCAAATTTGGAAGGTATGTAAAGTCAGCACTGTTGGCTGCTTCTCTAATAGCCTTTTCTTCCCTTCTTTTTGCTTGATTTCGCTGTGGCCGTGAACTTCAGGCGCTGAATCGTGGTTGATGTACACCAGTGTTTCTCAGAGTGCTTCTCTGATCAGCAGCGCCAGGTTTATCTGCTGTATCGTCAAGGATACACTCAGGAGACAGAAACCACACAGTGATTTGGTAGGGAAGGTTTCATATAAAGAATTATTCCTAAGCATAAAGAGATTGGAGTAACGAGAGGTTGCCTCATAAGAAGTAAAGAGAACTCTAAAGGATAGAGGAATAGCCGATACGAGGAGCAGCCCCATTCCTAGGGCTAACAGGGCACTCAAGGGAGAAGCCACTGTTACTATCCATCTATTGCTATGTGAGAAATGATCCCCAAACTTAATAATTTAATAAACATTTATTATCTCACATAGTTTCTGAGGGTCAGGAATCCAGTTGCTGTAGCTTAAAGCCCAGTTGGCTCGTTGTGATTGGTTGTCCTTAGGTTTTGCTTTTGTAACCTTGAGGCATTTACAGGCTTAGGTTTTGGTTTGCTTACAGAGGCTGCCAAGGCAATAGAGCCACCTCAGCCCAATGGTCTCCTTGTTTAATTAATCTAACAATACCCCTTTTGGTCACGCTGTCATACGTGAGAGATTGATCTCGAATGGTGTATAAGCGCCACTCTCGGTCACCATCAGAATTAAGTTGCCCTTGTCTCATTGTGAAACTCACAGGTTGTGGTGTCAGGTCCATGGAAGAATTGTTTTTGCTGTTCATCTCTTTGTTCACTTGTTTCTGTTTCTCCAAGAGCAGTGAGACCACCTGATGTACTGCTGATGGCTGTGAACATGCGTTTAAGACGGTTGAGAGAATGTAGCCCACCAGGGAGACTGATGGCGACTATGAGGACGATAACACAGAGACTGAAGGCTAATCCTAAGCCAGGGCCCCCATGAACCAAACCAGTTGGTATCAAATAAATCAAAGGATATACCTGAAGGGATATCAACCTGTTTCAGCCAAGTAGCTTATTTGCTAATTTCTTATATTTGCTAAAATATCAGAGGGGTTGATCCAGGTACAGCAGGAAGTATTTGCTTTGGTGCACACTCCTTGTTTAGCCAGTAAGTGATCTAAGCAATTCTATTATCTAGAACCACCTTAGCAAGAAAGCCTAGTGACTCTTGTTGTGCAGCTGTGGCCTGGGCAGTAGATTCAGTGATAGTTGCCAGAGCTAAGGAGCATTATCTTCTTGTGCATTAGCAGAGAGAAAAAGCAAGTAGTGAAGTGGCAAAAGGAATGAAGGTTTTTATATTGGAGATGAAGATCTTGTTCTGGGATCTTGGGAGATGCCATCTGCTTCTGGGGAGGAGCCTCCCTGGTCAATTTCACTTCAGATCTTCACCTGGTGTGCAGGTCCAAGAGTCCGGAGGAGCCCTTTTGAGTTGAGGGATGTGGATCTAAGGTTCAGGGTCCTGAAATTTGGCTTCCATCTGGGTTTGAGGAGGGGCCCTTCAAGGAAGTTCAAGGGCAATCTTTGTTCTTAGTGATTCCAGATCAGAAAGGTGGGAGAAACTGGAAATATTATTGATAGTTTGGAGAGTCATAGCCAGGTATTTGAAGAAGCTAGAAGAATTCAGGATCCAGTCCAGTTTACAGGTATATAGCAAACCTCAAAGACAATGAACAGGACTAAAATCTGATAT